TATTCCTGTAATGTTCGTAGTTGTGGTGACTTCTATGATTGTCTCGCGTCTAGGGTTGATTCTTATTATTTCAATATGCTGTCTCTTATTTTTAAAAGCTTGTTGCTGTAATCGCATTTCGCAAGATGTTTTCGTAGGAAATCAACTCCAAGTAGCCTTCGAAGTCGATTGGAAAAATCATCTGCAATTATATATATGGGGTGTTGTATCTGGCGTTCACCTAATAGTATAGTAGCAATTATTTTTTCTATAACAATTATTTCGTATCCTGTAACTCCAGCTAACGTCATTTTGTCTTCATATATGAACGTTTCTCTCCTTAAATTTCGTAGTTTTACGAGGGTTACTGCTGCTCCAGTGTTGAAAAGAAATTTAGTTTTTCCTTTCTTGAATTCTTTGATTTGCAAATTTATTAAATCCAGCCCTGCCACTGGCTCGTGGCATCTTAGTGACTTGCGAAATTTTTAGTCGCGTGTAAATTTTGGCGGTTTCATCTTTGCGAAATCGGTTCTGCTCCTTCCATCACCATTTTCTGCTGTACCCTGCCTTCGAGTTTTTCCGTCATGCGTTTTCATGCTTCCTCCTGATGCGGTTCTTAAGCGTCCATTTAACATTCACTATTTGTTACGGATGTGTCCTGTCTTTTTGCAGTAATTGCAATATTTTGCAGCTGTATTTATGTTACCTTATCCGCTCGGCTTTGGCAAATGTTGGTCAGCGTATCTGCTGTTTCGGCATTCTTGACCACTGTGTACCATTTTCCCACATTTTTGACAATATGATCCTCGGTGATGATTTGACAAGTTTAAGTATTGAGGGTTCCTTGGCTCCTACCAAGTGGTTCCTCGATTTTTTCTTCGGCAGTGGCCCCTGCTATTGCTTCTTGCAGTGTAGCATAATGTTGTGACCTCACAAATAATTTGATTTTATCTCGCAATCCTATTTGGAAATTCTGTAGAGCTTGTTTTTGGATAGCATTTAGAATTATGCGTTTTTGTTTGCTATTATGCTCCTGTCCTTCGATCATCGACTCATATATTCCATTGATAGTTATCGATTCTCAAGCCGTATTGTCTAGCGTTCTCGTCCAATTTTTGTTTAATAGTATTACATTCTATTTGTAAGTGAGTAGTGCTTCTTTTGCTAAGATAACAAGTTTCTAGCTCCGATTTTAATTGTTGGAAGTCATATATATATATATCCCATGTCTCGAAATCTATCATTGCTTTGCCTTTTAACTTGGTGCACAATATAGCATCTAGTAACGTTCATTCATCTATTGGATTTATGGTTTTTATGGCATATGAACATGCGCTTAGAAATTCTTTTAGTTTAGCCTGTGAATTTCTATCGAATTCGGGTTATCATTTCTCATGCTTCTTAAGTTTCATACATTCGTTTACGTGTGGGTATTGATTGCGTACGTCCTCAGTCGTACGTCCGTAAATGTTGTCTAAGCGATAATCATTCCTCGTGTGTGTCGCGTGCTGAGTATTTCGATGATCCTCTAATTTATCTATTCTTTTATGCATAGTTTCCATTTCTTCCCAGAGTTCTCTAATTCCCAACATTACATTGCGTAAGAGATCTGTTTGCAAATCATTATATCGTTTCCAGCTGGTAACTGTGGTTCCATTACAGCTTGCACTAATTCTTCGGATGGGACTGTCAGTACTTGTCGTTTTGCACTAGGCAGAGTGCGATGCATTTCTATGACCGTGTAATTTTCTTTGGGATTAAAAATGCTACTGTCGTATGACGTAAGGGAGTATTCCCGTCTGAGAGTGACTTTACTCTTTAGAAGTTCTGTTATGATTTATTCGCCTATCGTCTGTGCTATCGTCACTAAACATAGAGGTATCGTCGTCGTTTCCTGTTTCGGAATTTACGATCTTGTTATTTTCATGAGAGTTTTGTTCTTCGCTTGAATTTAATTCGATGAGATTTTCTCGATTTTCACGATTTATAGTATTCTCGCGATTTTCGCGGTTGTCACGATTCTCGTGAATCTCCCATTCCGTCTGCTACAGGTAGTGAATTTAACCGTTCTATTGCGCGCTGTGCTTGTGGACTTAATAACCACGATGCGTTCGGTGGAAGATTATCAGTATTGTCCGACATTCACACGGTTTGCAAAAATTTTCGACTTACAGTAGAAGTACAGTTAGTGCTTATAGTTTGCTTGGCCTAAGCCGCATGATCAGCTCGCTTACCGATGTTGAAGTTGGTCGATATACGTAGTCTGCTCTGCTTAGTTGTGACATGCGTTGTCCTTGAGTGAATTCCGGTAAGGCTGGATCCCACTGCTGCCACCAAATGTTGTACCGCTCAAAGTGCAAGAGTGCCGCTCCGAGCACCGTTTATAGAATTTACATTAACCAGTCATATTATCAAGGTACGACATACCGCTCAGGTGTGGCGGGATCACAGATTGGACGTGGGAGGTGTCGTTTGGTAAGGACTCGAGGTCCTTCAATTAATATAGGCCAGCGTTCGTGGTGTAAGAAGGTTTATTGTCACTTACGAGTACTCAATGTGTTACAATTTTATGACATCTCGCAGTAACGGAGATTCTCACAGTAGTCGTGTGTCCTCTTGATTTTTCGTAATCACCGGCGATGCTCGAAGCTTATGTTTTTATATATACAAATTAGGTCGAATTAATGATTGCGTTTTAAAGTAAAGTATGTCAGTTTTGAAGTTAAAAATAGGTGATTTGATTTGTGATACTTTAACTTCAGAAAATCTGTAGACATAGATTTTGAGTATGATTTTGGATCATAACAAACTATTCTAAAAATATATTATATTTTATCATAACGTCATAAATGGTTGATCTTGAGTATCCAAAGAATTGAATTATTTCCGTTGCTGAACGCCCAGCGAGGAGGCCTTCGATGATAACGACTTTTCGATTATGCTCTTGATTTCAACATTGCGGCCATTTTAAGAATATGACTGTTTACTAGAAGCATCAGGCTTTTTCGGATACCAACAACAAGCTCTGGCGGAGACACAATATAGCGAAAAATTTAAATTGAGATTTGTCCGGATTTGGATGCACCCTGTAGATAAGTTCTTCGGCAAGCACGAAGCAGAATGTTCGTTGAATGTAAACGGAGCGTGATTAGGCAGTCTAGAGAACATAAACGGATTATCGTCGAATTCTTAGACGAACGTGAATGAAATGTAATCGAAGTCCTTGGTAAGCAAATGATATTTTAAAATATACTTCATTTATTCGGTAAATATCTAAAAAAAGTGCTATCTTCTTGGAACCCTAGGGGCTCACTTCAAAAAATTATTTTATTAGAACATAGCTGAAAAATCTTTCGGCTGAAAAAAATGCTACGTCTTTTACCCTAATCTGTGCAGTTTTTTAAATTTGAGAAGTTAGTTCTCACTAAGTCTCTCTGGTGGCGGTGCCGCGTACTACTCAACGACGCTTTGTTTACGTTCGCTGTACAACTCAATGACACTTTAAAATAAATTTGTTTTATCTCTATATTCTGGAAGCGTATTTGAATAGTCCGTATACTTTTTGCCGAACGTTTTCTCAATGAACAGAGAACAGAAAAAGACCCTTTTCGGTGTTTATTTTTTTTTCTACTGAACTAATAGATCGATTTTAATGGTCCACGTTTCATTTTGTAGATATTTCGAATATCTACATTTTTTTACCGAATTTTTTTCGATACAATCAATATCTTTCGTTTTATAAAAAAAAAGGTGCTTTTTGCAACTATTCGATTTTTTTTGCATATTTTCTTCACAAGTTTTCTTCTTGAGTCTCAAACATACGCATTTCTTTTCTGATGGCTTTTCCATGAAAAGAAATGATGGTTATAATTTTTTTCCGGTAAAATTCTATTTCTACTGAACTATTCTTGCAACTCGAGTTTATGAAGGAGGGATATACTGTATAATGCGCATGAAAAATCATAAACAATTAAATATTTCATAAACTATTGCGTTTTAACGCAAATAAATAAATGATTTATACTATTCTGGAGGTTCATTATACTTAATGGGAGGATACTCATTGTACTTAATGGGAGGGGTACACTATTACTATAATTTATTAAAACTTATATGTTATTTAGAATGCCCCCCGCCCCTTATTGATGCCTAGGGTCGCTGAACGGCCGAGATTGCCGAGAAAACATTTTCGGTCGCTTGAAATAAGCGACTAATATGAGGAGCTCGCTGTCTTGTTCACTCTCAGCGCGCCGCGAAACACGGACATGAGCTCGTGCTTAAGTGTGTGGTTACCGGTTTCGCTAGACTATCGTCTGATTCTGTGTCGCCACTGTCAACGCAGAATCATAGTATAAGTAGAGCACTAGAAACGTATATATTCGTCTATCATTTTTATTCCTTTTCTCACTCCCTATTCTGTCTTCATTCCATCACTGAACTGTGATGGGTTATGGTCATTACAGGTTATGATTTGTATTTGCTGCTTGAAATGTAGCTCCTTTCATTCCATTTTGCTCTCAAAATCAGTTGAATATCTATTGGAATATTAGTGCAGAACCTGAAGAGTGTCTAGCAAATTCAAGTTATTTTTAGTTAAGGTGCCAAATATATATGTCAATTTGAAGAAAAGGAAAATGAAATTTCTCTGCGAGGAAATGTAGTGATGTTTATTCACAAGTCATGTATTTATTTTACAGCAATACAGCAAATTGTCGACGAATATTATCCGCAGGAAATTTAAATAATCGAATACTTTTTTTTTATTTATTGATACAGTTTACCGCAATACGGCATTTTATAATTTTTTTTTGCTTTCGTCAATATATAATATTTTAGTTTTTTTTATACCTTCTTTTCGTATTTTAGTTTTATGGTAAAATTTCGAAGTGCAGAAATACATAAATATGAAGCTACAAGGTTTCCAACAGAAGCGATAACCTATCACAACCGTAACGATCATAACATTCTCAGCTCAGTGGGATTAGAGCAAAGAGTGGGAAAAGAAGTAAAAATGGCGGATATGCGAATACTCATATTTATAGTGCCTTAGTATAAGTACATACAGTATGGACACTGAACTTTTTATGTGGTCCCCAATTTTTATTGCGCATGCACGTCGATTTCCAACCAGGAATGTAGCTGCCTTCAGCAAGTTTCAACACGCACGCACGCGCGCACGCACGCTCATCATCCTTTTCTATATGTAATAAATTATTAATTTATACATAAGAATGAAATGATACGTAATGGAATTATCTTTATTATTCCTTATTATAGTCTATGATATTTTTACAATGTTCATAATATACAACTTACCTTATTAGATAATAATGAAATAAATTCTATTTCTAAATTTTGTTTTCTTCACAATTCTACTTTAACAATAATCTTGATATATGTTCTGTGGACACACGACGCCGTGACAGTTTATAATGTTTATTAGAGAGCCTATAATCAGAGTGGCGTCATACGAGAGATGATTTATTATTTTATAAAAAATATGGTCAAAATTCTACGAAAGAGAAAGAGATATACGGTCTCAGTCTATCCAACAGACTGTCAGTTTTTAGGGTTAGGTGCAACAGCATTGAACGACATAGATACGTAAAGGTACATTGATAAAAATAAAATTATTGAAATTATTTTAGAAATAGAGGTTGGATGTACAATACCGTTTTGTAACAATTCATTAAAAAAAGGATATGTTATGAAAATAATTCCGAAAGACACAAAACGCCCAATAAATTGGTTAAAGAGTATAAATGGCAAATATAAAAATTGGACACCGTCAAAAAATTCATCTGTATGTGAGGTAAAGTAATTTATTCTTTATAAATAATCTATTTAAAATATTAAAATAAAAATGTAACATAAAATATACACAGATTAATTATAATATCTGAAGTGTCTTGGCACTAAGTATATGTACAGTCATCATATTGGTTACGAATTTAATTCTTTCTCTTTTTGTCGTAATCTTTTCAATTATATATCACTGCATTGTGAGTCTAAATCAAATAATATGATAATTACGATATTTAATATATAATATTTTATGAAATGGTATATACATAAAAATGGTATATAATATTTTTCTGAATTTTTTATTTCTTTTATATTATTACAGATGCATTTTACAGATGCTCCTAAAATGTAGGAACAGAGAATGGATAATAAACTAGCGCATTTAATAGCGTAAATAATGTGCAATAAATAACGTTTTGTATAAAGTAATGTGCAATATTACAAAATGTACAATATTGCAATAGTACAAAATAAATGAAATTTTAGACTCTCTAGTAATCAGAAGTCCCGCTGGTAGAAGTCGACATTTCTGCTTTCTATACTACTTATTTTACTACTAGCACGAATTCTGATTAGCTGCTGCTTTTCCGTTTTCTGCTTTTCCATTAAGGTACGAATGCGCCCTTATTACTTATTAGATACCTGATCACTCTATTACGTAATATCATCACATAGTTTTATAATTAATTAATATTAATTAATATTATTATTATTAATTTTTTTCGTTTGATATTTCATACTTCTGATTAAACAAGATTCAAATTAATTCCCACAGGTTATATCTATTCTCTGTTCGACAGTAACATTTGCGTGAAAGAAAAGAATCGTGGAATCTTTCCGACATAAGAGACATAAGACACAAGAACATAAAATATCTCGTAAACTATAATACTGTGATTTGTTATAATTCTGAATACAGCCAATGTAAAGAAATCATATGATTTTATTTACAAAATGGAAAATTAATTTTACAACACAATTAATAAGAGATGAAGATCTAACGGCCGAAGTTGGATCTTTAATGCTTAGATAATTCCATGTAACTTATATATACTATACAGTAAGATCTAAAAATTCTGGAACGGTTAATATAAAAAAATATTGATTTATTTGGAAAAATATTTCAGACAAAGTTGTAGAGTTTAAAAAGATCTATATTGATTTTTTTAAAAGATCTTTTAAACTCGCACACCGTTTGTTCTTGGGTGTCGCCAATGTCAGGTCAAGGTCACATCGGTTTTATTAAATGAAATGCACTAGCTATTTTTTATTCCAGAATCTAGTAGCTAGTATATCAAGAGCTTTCCAAAACATAAAGTTCATTTTCATCAAGTACTTTTCAAGTTATAAGGCTTGAAAGTTACAATACCGACATTAGCATTATCCAAGTCCGATCAATAATTGAAACCTCTTGAACATTATTCAAGGTCATGTCCTGGGGGGTCGATTCTGTATCTTCAAACAAGGTGAAAATTACAAAAATGAACAAATTTATTAGATGTTGACCAATGAAATTATCATTATTCTAGTAAGTTCGCTCACTTTTGTAATTTTCACCTCGTTTCGAGATACAAAATCGATCTCCTGGATAACATTTATTAAAATCAAGACCATAGAAAGTTACTATTCTTATTTTCATTTGAGTACTAAAAATTCATTTTTACGTAAAATTGGATTTATTCGACGCGTTTTTACATGAAACGAAAGAAGTTAACGACTATCAGGATAAGAAATTTGTCAGATTTGTTACATTGATGGCATATAGAAGGACATAAGAATGTAAACAAGGCTACAACAAATATTACTTATATGATCATAATATGAACAGGAAAATATGTATTTCTAAAAGTTTTTTACACAGCCAGTTTTATAACTTTTTAAAATTCATGCAGTGATAGAAAACCAATTATAGTAGAAAATTTTTAATTTTTTTCATATTACATCCCTTAGTAAATAATTCTTACAGTTCTAGTATATATATTACGTATTATATTATAAAACATACATAATTAAAATTTATTACATTTATTGCACTATTTTTGCCAAAAGGTCATTCTAAAAATCAAAGAGAATTACCACATAAAGATAGGTTTTGTAATATATCTTGTATATATGTTCATATATTAGCAATGTTATTGTAGAAAACAAACAATATAACTCTTCTTTAACTGTTAACTTTAACTGTTCTTTAACTTATGAAATAAAGATAATAAATAAAATGTTTGAAATTATATAATATCCTAGAAACATATTGAAATAGCTATATATTCATATATATTCAGTTAATACAACAATCCTGCTGAGAATCTACTCCAGGTGGGAATGGAAAAGTGGGATTACTTCCGAAATCAAATTGAAAAGGCAAGAACTGTTCGCCAAAAAGATCGTCAGGTGCTTGACCATAATTTTGCATTTCCGTCATAAATTTTAATACACATTCAAATCGATGTTGTTTAATATCTTCTGTATCGTCTTCCTTTTCTTTTTCCAATTCAATACATACCTTACATAGAATATAAATATATATAAATAAATATATATTAATTGTGTAAAGCTTCCACATAAATCATAGGTTGGTTAGTTTATTAGTTTATTATTAACATACCTTTTGCATCAATTCTGACTGTTTTGTATACCTCTCTAAATCAGAAGCATTTAAAGTTGCTTTATGCTCCTCTAACCATGCTGGATATTTATCAGATAGTTCTTTCAATGACGGATAAAGAATTTCTTTTGACAAAAGATGCTCCATCATTCCTTGCATAAATGGTAATATATCACCAGTATCGCCGTCAAAAGATGTTTGTTCAAGCATAGCTGCTACATCTGTTTCATTCTAAAATGTATTATTTATTTTGATCTTATCAGAAAGATGAATAGAAAATAATATTACTTATTTACTATTATTGGTTACTTTTATAAATTTTAAAAAATGTTAAATTGTAAAAATCAATATAGGCAAGTATTATTGCTATAAAGATAACTTTTATGAATCCTTATATGGTACAACACACAAATCGGTATATTATCGATACGAATCTGGATATTTCGAGTCTGTTCACTTTTCCACTTATTTAAAGTGATTCAAAAATATTTAAAAATTCATGAACATACGTTCAAGTTTCTAGAACAAGTTTCTAGAATAATGTCTGAATTTCGTTTTAGACAATAATTAAATGTAATATAATTTACTGAATTTTCTTAAAAAAAATCATAAGTTGAGTAAAAGTGTAATTTGATTTAAAAAAAATGTAACTTTTTATAATAAAGGCATATAAAAATGGCTAACTTTTTAGTTTAGATACAAACAAATGTTTTGAAAAAAAAGTACAAGAACTTCAAAGGACTTCGTCATAATCTTATGGAAATTGGGTTTCGGCGGAATTGAAATTTTGATATGTTGTAGCTTTCGGCATCCTGAACAAATGTCTCCATAGACACAACTCTCGAGATCACAATCCTTCGCTCGCTACGAATCGACAAAGTAAAGATCAGTAGGCCTAATTGCAATAACAGGCTATATATTACGGGAAAAGGATTGATTGGATTTCTGGGGGTTGTGCCTATGGAGACATTTGTTCAGGATGTTGAAAGCTACAACATATCAAAATTTCAGACAATTCTGTCGAAACCCAATTTTCATAAGATTATGGTGAAGTCCTTTTTAAAAAAATATAATTATTTGAGCACACAAAAATAAGAGATTTTTAATAAGCACGCGCACGCGCGCACAATTTTTTAATACAATTTTTACTTTGCACAAAAAGGATACATTCGGTACAATTCTGAGTCATTATTGTATAAATGCGGAATCGAATTACATACTATTTACAAGGAAACTGACAGCTGCAGTCGCTTTATACTGCGCACAGATGTTCTCCACTACAAATTTTTTTTTAATAAGAAAATAATGAATGAAAGATTAATCGAATTTTTAGTGAAAAATTTGCACGAACAGAAATCGATCGAATCAGACACAAAAAATATCCAATATTGTACCATATTAAAATAACTATTAATATAATTATTAAAGTAACTAAATTTGTCACTTATGATCTTATTTTAATCTTTCGTCGGTCATGCGAAATTTCGCATCTTTCGTTAACAATCTAGGTTTTTGAGGTTTAGTACAAATTTTTATATTATTCTAGACAATATAAAAATCTGAGAAACAATCTTATAAAAACTTTAGTAACTGTTACTATCATAGAAATCGGATTTTACTTATTTTTTACAGATTTACCTATCAGAATTTATAATTAAAAAATCGATTATATCTTCAAGGTTAATTTAGTCAACGGAGGCTTAAAATAAAAGCATCATACACTATACAAGTTGACTTGAAAAGAAAGTTGTAAAATATCTAAAAAATAGTTCGAGAAAAAAAATGTCATGCAAAAATTGTAGGATTACAATGAATCACTTTGCGATATCTCATTTGATCTTGACCACAAGAGTAGATATAGAGTTTCACTTAATGTGTTTACAACACTCGTGTGCATCATTTCATCCTTGTTTGACATTCGATTATTACGAAGCTGAAATGACGCTCGCGAGCGTTAAGTGAAACGCACCCATAGAGCAGCTATCAAATTAACTTTAAAATTTTTAATGAAAACCTCTTTTATTCAATATTATAGCTAATATCATAATCTCTTCAAAACATTACAATGAAATTCCTTGATATTTTCGTATTTTTCGAGATGAATTGATAACATATTTATTGCTGGCATTAACATTATTCAAGATGTTCGACTGATGGCCAAAACTTTTTGGATGTTATTCAGTCATATGTCAAGGCCATCAGAGATTATTTTTTATTTTCATTTTAGGAGTGCCTCATACATCTGTAGTCATATATGAAGCTGCATGAAATATACCATTGTTTTTTGCGAATGAGTGGATTAATTCAGTCACATCCTGCACTTAATTTTTCCTAGGATGTGTTCCACTTGTAAGTATCATTTCATTCCTATTATCATCAAATATTAAACAAGAATGAAATGATGCATGTCAGAGATGCATGTGAGTGTTGCAAACATTAAGTGGAACGCATCCCCTAATAGTGTGAGATACGAGCTGCATTCTCTTAATCCTTTCAAGAATGTGAGATATAAGTTGCAGTTAATCCTTCCTGAATACAGTGAAGTATAAGTTGCACTCTCCACATGTCCAATCAAGAGAATCTCTCTCTTATCCCTTGCTTTGATCTTTGCGACTTTTAATTATGAATGTTTCAGCATCCTCCCACATCAAAATTCCCAAAAAAAATTCTATTTATTTGTAATACCGTTACTCTCTTTATCATTATCTTATTATACGATTTGACAATGACGAATTTTTTTTATAATTGTAACAGTTATATTAAGGTTGGAAAGTCACGCCGGTCTCACGTAATACTAAAAAAAATTAATTCGCCATTTGTAACTCATTATTTTTTAGTCGTTACTTATAACAAGGTAATATTACTCGTTGCTTATAATGAAATAATGTTACTTATTACAAATTACTTTTTTCAGAAGTAAACGCATAATAATGCAAGTTGTTTAAATAATGCAAGTTGTTTCAAAGTGACTTTTCCAATCTTAGAGCAATCTCTCTTTAGTTAATTATTATTACAGTCATAAAAAATTGCAATCATTATCAAATTATTATAAAAAGTAAAGAAATAGTAACTTTTCCCCAATTAAAACATACTATTTGGCATTTCCTTTGAGTCTACTATACAAGGAAAAGGAAAAAATAGAAGAGATCAGAACAAATCTCTGTACTGAAACATTCATCATTGAAAGTAGCAAAGATCAATAGAAGAGTTAGCCTGTACCGTAACAATTCTGATTGATCTCTCGCTAGCAATTATCTCAGATTACATCTCTATAATGCGAGTTTAACTTCAAATGTCTACAGTTCGTTAGCTGTTACGTTGGAGCTAAAGCTCTTAAGAAAGATTCTAGAAACAGATCCAAGATATATTGTGAAAAGAATGATGATATTCTATATCTTGTGGTCAAGGAGCATTAAAAACACAAATATGTTTTATTTTTAAGACTTTACAAGAGTAAATCAATTCCCTAAACATCAGTGACTTAAAAATGAAGCAATCCATTGTGCTCTTGGAACCAGATGGCACACTGGAATATGACGTAAAACTTACAAAAATTAAAATTAAAAAAAGAGGAACAACTTCCAATGACTTTAACATACATTGTCAAAGTTATGTTTAAGTCCTGAACAATATTCAAGTTTTTAGCTGTCTCTATACCTAAAATTTATTAGTTAAATACTGAAATTAATATCTAATAATATCTGAAATTTGTTAACCTATATTTCAAAAAATACTTAATCAAAAGGAGTTTCATCATAGTGTTTTAAGATCTTGATAACTAATAAGAGAACATTGAATAAAGTTTCCAAACAAAATTTAAAAGTTAACTTTGAGAGCTCCTCTATATTCAAAGTTAATGGATATCACTATCAATGTCAATATCATCGCCATTTCATACATTTGTTGAAATCCTACAACTTGTATTTGAAACACTTCCCAAGATGTCTTGTCTTTGAGATATTTCATTGATTCAATATTTTTTAATTATCCTTATAAAGATTAAATACCTGTAAATTTTCAGAATTAGCAGTTAAATCCTTCAAAACTTGTGAAACAGCTGACTGAAAGTCTGTATTCACATTTTTTTCATCCATTGCATTATTGGCCGACATTTGTCCAAGCTTCTGTAAAGCAGCTTCCAGTTCGCTATCTTCTGATAATAAATTATTATTCTACAAATATTTGTTTAATGTTTTTTTTCATATATTTTTAATTATCTCACCATTTTGCAATAAATTTTGTAAATTTTTTTCAAATTGATCAGCTGTTTGTTTGAGAAAATCCTCTGTCCATTTCTCCTCAGACGTTTCATGTTTATCTGTTTGCTTCTGTGAATTTGCTGTATTTATGTCATTGCTTTTTTCGACATTTGATAAGGATACTTTATCAAAATCTTGTAAAGCACCTAAACAAACAACAAAATTTAATGCATATTATATATACATATATATATACATATATATATATATATATATATACGGCAGTTTAAGATATTTATAGTTTACAAAACAAATAATGATATTACATATAATGATATTAACTACTATACTTCCTTAATGTCAAAGATATGTATTTAAAATTACAAAACAATTTATTAAGTAAGTATGAATAATTTATTTGTTTAATGACCGTAGAACTGAACTTGCGACATAGATTTCCGTAAGGTTAGATCGATTTTTTTAAACATATAAGATATACTTACTATCCAATAAATCGTTCAAATCTTGATTTTCTGTTTCATTATTTGTTTGTTCGATATTATCAGTCATATTTCCGTGATTTTTTAATATCCTATTACACTCTTTTCACAGAGAGAGAACTATCACGTATGGTTCTTCTTCTTCAAATCCCTAATTGGTTTCCAACCTAGGCCATCTTCATAAATTGAGGTGCGTTCGGATTCCCTAGATATTCTATTGTACAATATAATCAGGCCTTCTTTTTGGCTGAATTTTTGCACCAGTGCATCTTTCTTCCTCTTCTTTTCTCGAGAATATCGATCATATAACTTTTTCTCTAGAGTCGAAACGTGAAAAGTGAAAATTTTTATGCATGCATGTATGAACATATACACACATATTGGGTCATCTAAAAAGTATCCGCGGTTTTTTGTCACTAGATGTGTGTTGATGGTCATATATCTAGTGACAAAGTACCGCGGATACTTTTTAGATGACCCAATATATAGCTTAAAAATTTTTTTTCTCTAGAGTGGAAACATGAAAAGTGAAAATTTTTATGCGTGATGAACATATACACACATATTGGGTCATCTAAAAAGTATCCGCGATACTTTGTCACTAGATATTGGGTCATCTAAAAAGTATCCGCGGTTTTTCACTAGATGTATGTTGATGGTCATATATCTAGTGATAAAGTACCGCGAATACTTTTTAGATGACCCAATATATGACCATCACACACATCTAGTGACAAAAAACCGCGGATACTTTTTAGATGATCCAATATATAGATCAAAATGTAAGAATCAACCAACTACAGTCGAGCATTCCCCTGTCGTTCGACTGTAACAGGGGAATACTCGACTGTAGTTGGTTGATTCTTACATTCTGATCCGGATTAAACTCTCGGTGAAAACTAGGCTAGTCATGAAACTTTATCCCCAGGATGGAAAGTGAAAAATGAAAATTTTAATTATTGAAGCTAATGAAGAAATTGTTTACTTTTTTTACTTTTTAATCTAGGTCTGTTCTTTTTGACTAAACTTTTGCACCAGCATCTTTCTTCCTTTTCTCTCTAGGGTATCGATTATGTAACTTCTTCCCTAGGATGGTGAAAAATGGAAATTTTTTTGTACATGGATGGAGCAACCTAAAATTGTGCTCTACCATTCACTGAGCGCTATATAACGGCCTAAAGGCATTAGAGAAAAACAGTAATAAATAAGTAAGAAAAATGATATTAAAGATTATTTACGTTACTAATTATAATAAATAAACATTAATAATAGATAAATCCCTTTTTTGCTCAGTGAGCGCTCAATGAGCGATCGTCGCTTCTGAATGTACCTACTGAATTAACATTTGAATTCAAAATGGCGTCGAAGTACTATCCTAACCTGATTCTATTAAAAAGTCGGAAATTCATACAGGGGTCTGAAAGAAGAAGAAGAACCTGATTTTATTATCGAAAATGGTTGCTGTGTTGTAACTGCAGTGAAAGAGGCTGAAATTTTGAATAACCACGCGTCATGGAGTCAAAATAGCGGCAGTTCGCGGTACTTTGTATGCCTTCCAACAAGCGATACAGTGCGACACAGTGATCATGTCATCTTTATTTAACATTGACAAACAATAAGGGTGTAATTATCCATTGTGTCACACCGTATCATTTGTGTCACTTGTTGGAAGGCACACTTTGTTAATCTAGTGACTTTAAACGACAGTGATCATGCCATTTTTGTTTAACATTGGCAAACAACAAGGATGTAATGATCTCAATATTGCAGAGAGAATCATGGAAGAGTAGAGCGGATAGTGTTTCTTTTCTCTGATTAGTTCCACCATATATAGCTTTTGTGCAAGTGTGTGTATGTTGTACATACAGGCCCGTTGCACGCGCTTTTATTGATAAAATCGCGCTTTTGGCCCGTATTCAGAACGTGCTTTTATCGATAAAAGCGCGCTTTTATTTCTGAAATTCTATTCTAGTAACGTAAATTATAGTAAATTAGCACGCTAACATCATTGTAAACGCGATCTGAATACGGACCATACAATACTAATGCGGTACAATATCATAGACTTAAGGTGTATTCACATGCAAGCGTCAAGCAGTGAAACAGCAACCAATCAACGAGGCGATTTTTACAATAAAAATATTTAAAAAAAAAATATTTTTTAGGCCGCCGTCCCATGAGCAGAAGTTTACAGCGGAACGGAACAGCGCGACCAATCACTCTGCAGTCATTACTCAGCTTTCCTTTCTGTGATTGTGATTGGTCTTACTATTTCGTTCCGCTGTAAATTTCCACTCACGGGACGGCAGCCTTACACCACTGCCCGTATCGTCCAGCTGATATCGTCTAGCTCGTATTGACTGTTGGTCGCTGCTTCCGCTGTTTGACGCTTGCATGTGAATGCACCTTTAATCTTCCTTCTTATAGACAACGCTTAAGGAAGGGTGTTGTGTAAATGTGGTCTATGGTTTTAGCACTGGCAACGAATTTTGGACAGCCCTTATAGTTGAAATTTATTTGAAACAATGGATCAGGTATATAAGCTTTACGATCGTCAAGCATCATCACAGATTTGTATAAAAGATTATTTTCATCAATATAGTGAATTAATCAAGTCATCTATGTGTTATGAAATTGATAAACAAAGTGAAGAAAAGATTTTTCAACTTATGGATACCGATCTCTCACAAGCGAGAATACTTTTAATGAAACATTATTGCAGGTATTTTATTTTACGACATATAATAAATATGACTTATATTTCTTAACAAAATGAATGCTCATATATATTGTATCAAAATCTTTTTTATAGTATCGATAATTTAACATTACCAGTGGAAGCTGTTATTATGGAAGAACAGGAAAAACAAGGATATGTTAATGTACCTGAAAGAATTTTAGATAATGTTTCATTAGAAACAATTAAAGTATTAGAGATCTTATCTAAACAAGCTTCAGTAAAACCTAGAAATCAAAATGGCATTCCTATTGTAAGTAATTACTTCAAAGAGCTATTAAGACCTATAGAATAATAAAAAGATTCACTAAAATTTACTTGAATTATAATTGTATGATCGATAATTATATAAGCACTACATTGGTTTTCTTGATTAATGTGCATGATTAGTACTTATAAAAAGAAGAGTACAAGATATTGTTTGTGATATTTAATTATCATTACATTAATAAAACATTAGACGTTTTGGCCACAATCTGACCATCTTCAGTAAATTCACAATATTCTTAAAACGCAGAATTACATATAGCTAACATTAAATTCAACCGTCGTGTACTTGAAATTCATCATTTTTTTTGCTGTAAAACAGATAACGATTCTATTCTCATATATTTCGACTAGAAGATATTAATGATAGGTTAATTTATTAAATTAGAATCTGGAAATTCTTGTTCTACATATTTCGTAATATAATAATCGACGCTGTAACATTTTTGTATGAGGCACCTTCACATAATAAAAGAACACATTTATACATAGTTATATTACACGACGGTTGAATTTAATGTTAGCTATATGTAATTCTGTGTTTTAAGAATATTGTAAATTTACTGAAGATGGTCAGATTGTGGCCAAAACGTCTAATGTTTTATTAATGTAATGATAATTAAATATCACAAACATCTTGTGCGGTGGTTTTTATGCTCTTCTTTTCATAAGTTTTAATTTATAAATTATGTTTATTTTTATTATGCATGATTAGTATTGACAAATCTAGAGCATTGAAATAATTACTTGTTTCTTTTTAGAAATATGACAAATCAAGATCTGTTGATGATAATTCTTTAAAGCCGTATGAAGAATTTTTAGTTTATATCAGGATATATGAGCCATTTAAAAGTCAGCCTCGTTCTCTTAAGTATAGAACAAGTATACCTGTTCTTAAACTTAAGAGTGTCATATCGATATTGGGAAGCCAAACTCTTTATGAATTACGTCAAAAGATAATGTGTCAATCTGACTTGTCAATTACAAAAGAAATTAGTGAAAATCCAAATCAAAGGCCTGAATCGATGGCAAAAGTAATCATTTTTTCAATTTTGAATTATATCTATTTTATAACAATCCATGTATTTGTTATAGATTAGATATATTAGAACAATATGAAATATTTTATAAACGAAGCGTTTTTGAGAAAAAGGTTTCATATAAAAATCGTAATTCACTATTAAAAATCAAAGATTATTTAGAATAGCCCTCCCTCCCCCTCCCCATTTTTTTGTTTTCATTCAAAACAAAAGAATCGCAACTGAATCTGACAAGGAAATGCGGCGGTCGGTTTTATGAATCAATTATTAAGATTTTAGAGGCTAAGATATTTGTCCTGACTCGATACAGTGCTGTGTATACATTCTGCATTACATAAATTCTCTGCTTCACAAACACAAATTCACTGCTTTAAAAATGAATTCATTGTTTTAAAAACACAAATTCACTGCTTTACAAACAAAAATTCACTGCTTTAAGCACACAAATTCTTTACATTAGCAATGAATTTGTGTTTTTGAAGCAGTGAATTTTTGTTTTTAAAGCAGTGAATTTGTGTTTTTAAAGCAATGAATTTGTATGTGAAGCAAAAAAAATTTGTTTTTAAAGCAATAAATTTGTGTTTTTAAAATAGTGTAATTAAAATAGAACGTATACATAGCACTATATTGAGTCGGGATAACAGATATCTTAATCTCTAAAGTCTCTAACGCTTAATAATTCGATTCACGAAGTTGACCGCCACGTTTTTTTTTTGCCAGATTTTTTCGTTTTGAATGAAAACGCGTTGAATGATATTTTTATAAAGATTTTTTGGGAGGGGGACTATTCTAAATAATTATTAAATCAAAATAACCTCCAATTTTGATCTTGACAAATATTATCAAGTTCATGACTTTGAGTAATATTCAAAATTTTGTCGTCAGTTGAACATAATGTATAATATTAATGCTAGTGCCTGAGTTTTGTCAACTCATATTTCGAAAAATACTTAACTTATTTTCGTAAAAATGCTTTGTTTTAGAGATACTTCACAGTTTCACATTAAGATGAAATATTCAATATATAAAATTCAATTGCATTTACTATTATAGGATGTTTACCAATCTGGATTTTTTTATATTGAAGATACATTTTATAATGATACTAGTGTATCAACTAACATTGATTATAGTAATATTATATTAGAATGGGCAACAGTTCGTGATATAGGTCCATTTAAAGTTGCCACTATGGATGCTCTGATAAATTCTCTTTATACAAAGTTTGGTTTTCCATGGGTATATCAGCATCAAGGTTGTTGCGAACACTTAATTGTCTTGACTGATGCCAGGTAATTTTTATTAACATAATTTAGAGGAATCTATCAAATTTAAAGTTTTTAAGTCTTAATAGTTCTTAAAGGAGGAGTCTGATGTAACACACTGAAAAAAAGTGATTTCTGGGAATTTTTTTTTAAAGAAACGATTATTTAGAAACTTTGAAACTTTTAGCATGCTTTTATATGTATATTTCAAGAAATAAAAAAAATGTTTCTTTGATAATATATTTGAAAATAAACAAGCCGATGTCCAAGCGCTGGACGTCATTGGCATATAGTCTAGCTTTTATTGTATTTGTCTGAAACCAAATTCTCAAATATTTTAATTTTATTATAATATTCCACTATGAATAAACTTATCTCTAAAGTGAAAAATGTAAAATTAAAAAAATAATGGGAAAATATTGTGATGTTCACAAAATATTTGCGAATTAAAAATGCAATAATACAATAATTACTTAATAATATCATCAAACAAATAGGTTTATGTAGAATTTAGTTACCTATATATGCACAGGGAGAAATCGATTAGTTGAATATTTTTTTAATTATACTGTACGCCAATTCGAAAAACTTGTTTTTAAGAAAAACATGTTTAAAGTTTGTGTAAGGAAAAGTAGCTGTTTTTAGATACTTAAGTTTTTTTTAAGTTATTCTGCTATTCCAGATCCATAGAGTGAATCTTCTATTTCCTCATAAACGTCTTTCAGTTGTATTTGTTGCTCCCTGCGAGTTGTTCGGAAACCAAAGCACTTTTCTGACCAGTCATGATTGCGATTTCTACGTTTTTTTCTTATCTCACATCTTACATCATGTCACAAATACGTCTTGTTATGTTTCGTTACATCTCGTTCTCTGCCATAGCCTTGTGTGACGCGCAGGTATAAGCATAGACTTATGAGATAGACAGAGCATTTGTACGAGAGAAACTGAAGATTTGATAAAAAGAAAGAAAAATAGTCTCGGAATAGTCCTCTTCTTTTCTAGTAGCGAATTGATTGATTGCCGTGACTGGCCGAGAGCAACGAAAATAAACGTCCGAAGGTCAGTGGCCGAGAGTTGTGAGCTTACGTTCAAGCTGATTGGTCTCGGCCACTGATTCTCCCCCCACTACTCACTGTGAAAGAGAGAAACAACTATGTCTGAAATAGAGCTATCCTTCAATATTGTCTTCAGCTTTTCTCGTATGAATGTTCCGTCTCATAAGTCTATGGATATAAGATAGTCAAAAGTATCGTTAAAACTTCGAATTTTGATCTGAAACTTTACGAATATATTTTTCAAATGTAGTACTAATAATTTATGCAAAATCGATTTTTTTTATCTGTTACATCAGGTTTCTCCTTAGGATCTCTTTCATCAACCTCACTTAAGTTAACTGACTGGTTATATGGGACTCATTTAAGCCGAGTTTCATAACTCATAGTTAACTTTTAACCGAGATTTAACTTAAAATAAGTTGTGAAAGTTGTGAAACTGAGCCTAAATGAGTCCTATGTAACCATCGGTTAACTGAGGTCGGTAAAAGAGATCCTTAATGCTTTAAAATGAAATCATGAAATAAAAGAAATGCTATGAAGTGAAAGATACACAGAACTATACACTAGTTGCATTACTATAAACAGCATTATCTACTATTACATTTGAGCAACTTCTGAATTCAAATTTGGCTATCAAAGTATATTAATCTGTTAATTAGTAACACTTTTGTAAAAAAATAATCTGTACTCAAAAGTATTGTGTTCCTGATTGAAGAAGAGTAAAGAATGAGTAAAATAATCCTAAGCTCCATT